TTTAGAATCTTCATTCTACAATAATTTTCCTTGCGGTACCTAACTATCTATAGTAATATTTCATATACTATTTTGGAATGAAGGTAAAGCTGCGAGCAAAAAATATTATGATATTTATTTAATGATTAAAAACAGTGGGTCAATGAGAAATGTTAAGAAACAGTGTCTGTACTTACACATTTTGGCCGAGAATTTGACCTTTCTGTGGCCCTTCCAAGGTCTTCAACGCTACCAATGGAACTGAATACTGGATTTTATAAAAAAGTCGCTTATTAAATATCTTCGAACGTGTCTCCTAAAGTCGGAAGTGAATTCAAGACAAAGCAATTTTCTGCATGCTCATACTGTGCGCAAGAGTTGTTTGTAAATATTTCTTGTAGCACTGATTCATCACGCGATGGTACTACACATTTACGATCCTTTGTTTTGTTTTTAGTATCATGTAAAAGAAAGCAAATATTTTGTAGGTAAGTAATATGAAATTCTTAGTTTAGGTAATAAATAGGTAATTCATATCAAGTTAGTACCTATAATTTCTATAAAATAAATAGGTTAAAATCTTGGTGATTTCGTTAGAGGAAAATAAGTCGACTTCGACGGAAAAACGAGTCGAGATACAATCGTAGTATCTTCAGTCCTTTTTGCCTTGATATAAAAAATCAAACAGGTTGTCTTATTAATTTTATTTTTCCCGGACGGAGCAGTAACCGTGTGGTGCCCTCTTTGTAATGTTGTGTTGAAGAAGCAGTTCAGTTCAAAAATGTGTGACACCAAAGCCAGGATGGATGGCAAAGTGGTGATCGTGACAGGAGGCAGTTCCGGGATGGGCTATGAAGCTGCTAAAAACTTGGCAAATCGAGGCGCTAAAGTTATAATCGCAAGTAGAAATGAAACTAAACTTAGAAGAGCTAGAGACGAAATTCAAAAAGACACAGGCAACAATAACGTTTCATATGGGATAATTGATTTAGGATCTCTGAAATCAGTGCGAAATTTTGTCAGTGAAACCGTAAATGCTGAACAACGGCTGGACGTTTTGATCAACAACGCCGGAGCTATTGGTTTGCCTGACAAAATGACTGAAGACGGTCTGAATCTGACTATGCAAGTGAACTACTTCGGGTCTTTTCTATTAACGTATCTATTGCTGCCTTTGTTGAAGAAATCAGTTCCGAGTCGGATTATAGTCGGTTCCGCCGCATCAATGTACATAGGAGAAATCGATTTCGACCATTGGAATGACGTTGGGAGATACAACTGGGTACAGAGTCTTTCAAATTCTAAGCTGGCGGATACTTTATTTGCGTTTGAACTTGGAAGAAGATTGAAAGACAGCGGTGTCACTGTAAATAGTTATGACCCTTTCGTGGTTCGAGATACGGATATTTTTGCTAACACTCCAGGATGGATTGGAAGTATTTCTAAACCTTTCATAGACATAATTGGTCAGTCCAAAGAAGATGTTGGGAAGCAAATCGCGTACCTAGCAGCAGATCCTAGTATGGAAAAAGTTAGTGGTGAATATTTCAAATTTTGTCGAAAGTGGTTAAATCATTGGCTCACTAGTGATACGGTGTTAACGAAGAGGCTGTGGGATTTATCGAAGAATCTAACAAAGATCGCTGAAAAAGAAGATTGGGAAAGTAGTTGATTGTAGGTATTTTGCACAAAATAGCCTTCTGTGTTCTTACTCTTAAAATTCTAAATCACTATAAATAACTAAGCAATGATAAATATTAGAATCAGTCCAGTATTTTTTTTATTTCTGGTTATTAAATACTTGAATGTTTTAGATTATTTTTCGTTTTTAAATTAAAGTGGTAGACTTATAGTATTTGCCTGCTTTAGTGAGAATATTTTAAAACCATTCAGTTGTGATTATGCTTAATTAAAACATAATTATATCCTGTTTTACATTAATTAGCAAACCACATGAAAAACATTAAAATATTGCGATTTATTACCGCTGAGCTAACTTATTGATCCGAAGTCCGAACTATACACTTCCTATAAGGAATCTGTGTACGTTATTACGAGTGACGCAAGACAGGTCGAAGGTTCAATACTCGGCTCGATCCGGTACTGGGCTAAGATTCTTGTACAGTTGTAAGCGAATTGTGTTTGTTTCTAATAACATAAACAATTCCATGACTTTAGGGCTGTCATTTTATACTTGATTCATCATCATCATTTCAGCCACAGGACGTCCACTGCTGAACATAAAGTGGAACGTCCACCCACAAGGTGGACCGACGAACTCGTAAAGGTAGGCGCTGGATGCAGGCCGCTACCAAGTACCAACCGCGCGATATGTAAATCATTGGGGGAGGCCTAATTTAATTTGATAATTAAATTAAATATAATTAAAAATAACTTCAGTAAAATCTTGATTCGGCTTCTCTTGGTTGAAATCGTACATATCTATTGAAAACTAAATAATCCATTACGAGTGAAATACAAAAAATACAAAACGAGTAATTCATGATGTTTTTGCGTTTTTGCAACGTAACGCTATGTGAGGTGACCTCTAAAATAATTACATAATACCTCATTATGGAAAACTATGCTTGAGAAAATCTTAACAAAGTACTACGAGTAGGTAGATCATGCCTTAATATGGACGGACAACTCATTAGCTCATTATCGATTCGAGCACCTATGTAGATATAATTGCATGTCTACAATATTAAAACGGAGAGCTAATGAAGACTATCTTTTGGTCTGTAAGTAAGTACTAACGTAAAAATGTTCAAGGAAAATATTTCAATATTATATCCAAGTGTTAAAATATAGTTTTTGCAGTTGGTCAATTATTTATTTGCTACTAATATCTATCAAATTCATGGTCATTACATCATGCAGTCATTGGTCATAAGTTAAGGAGCATAGATGCATATTATTATTAAAGGGCAACACAATTGTCATCTTGAGCGTTGCGTGCGAAGCAGTGGTAAGAATATTGGGACGAATAAAAGCCTACTTGCGAAAATAAAATTATTCCCTAGAGCAGTCTTTCCCAAAGTGGGCGATAACGCGCCCTTGTGGGCGCTGCAGGCTTAAAGGGGGGCGGTAAGAGACCCAGAAAAAAAAAATGGGGACGTTGTGTAGAGGCTTGGGAGGTGTCATTTACTAGGAGTTCTCTTAGACACCGACTGAGCACTCGACTCTCGACTACAAATAGGGACGCTAAAAAGAATTTATTCTCAAAGTGGGCAGTAGACAAAATAAGTTTGGGAACCGCTGCCCTAGAGTCATCTGAATTTCAATGATCATCCAGTTAGCAAACAGTAGTTGAAAAATCAATCGAAAATAATAATCGGAGGTGATTTGGAAAGGTGTATGTCCAGGGAACTTCCATAATGACGGTAATTACAAATACGTCATAATGCTTCACGCTCTGCTTCACAAACTAACGCAGCTGGAGGAGACGACATATCAGATTATACAACTTTATTGCAAAATAACACGTATTACAACTGAGTAAGATACCGGTGTGTAGCTTGACATGCTTTGGCATCTTGAAATTTGGTACGAATCAACGTCTTAAAGCACAGATAAAGGAACAATTGCGAATTTACTTATATACCTACCTACAGGTTTGACAATTTAACTTTCCCCCGGGACAAATTTGACCTTCACTGGTTAGGTTTTTTGGTGGTCAAACTGTAGATCCTGCCACACAGGAGTTTCAGCGGTGGAAACGAGACGTGGGAATAGTCCCGTATACCTACATGTTTGTAAGGAACTCTCAGTTCGCTAGTCCGACTCGCACTTGGTAAGTTTTATTTAGTCGGACCCCACAAATCTATGTCCCACGGCCCGTTTCCCAGCATTGTGCGGGCCCATGTGTTCTAGGACATTGGGCAACTTTCCTTTATCCACATCATTTCGATCTCATCGTTTCACAATTAAATAACGTTACAATCATGGCATTAATTAAATAGGAGTAGGTACTGCCACTATTTGTAATATACAACAGGGTGTTAGGTAAATGGGTATATGAGCTGACACTAGCCCATGTTAACATGAGCATATTAATAGTATGGTGAAGTCAGAAAATTGATATCTTAATTTTAATTATTTTAATTTTCATACAAACCGGATTTTATAAAATTTATTTTGTATAAAAATAGATGATATCAAACTGACTTCACCATACTATTTATATACATATTATGTTAACATGGGCTAGTGTCGGCTCATATACCCATTTACCTAACACCCTGTATGTGTAAGTTTTTATTTTCTATCTATAAAATAATTATATTCTTGTGGAAGATGTTGTTGTTTTATTTCTTGTGTGTTGACTAGCCGCGACTTGTCTATTGACAGCCAGTTAAGACGAATCCTTATTTTATCTGGGTGTGCAGTGACTGCAAGACTGGAGAGCAGTAGAGGGGTTAAGCTGGACTATGATTAATAGTCAAAAAAATATGTTCTTAAATTTAGGAAAGGTAATGTTACTTAATGTTGTTTTATGCCAACCGAGTTTATGAACTTGATAACCTCGAATGAGATTATTGCCAAGAGCAAGTTTATTCAACCTAGGTAGTTCGACTCATCTGGTGATTATCAAGAAACGCTTTTAAATTAGTATTCAAACCAATTAAGGCCCGGTTTTTTGATTCGTAGTTAAAATAACCAATGGTCAAATTTGACAGATGTCAAATGACAAGTGGTTAAATAACAGAAAAAAATGTTTTTCGAACAATGGTTAGCTTGACTTTTAGTACATTTTTTAACTATTTGTTTACATTTTGTTAATATTTAACCATTAGTAGCAAAATTTAACAATTAGTTATTTTAACTAAGAATCAAAAAACTGGGCCTTAGTCTAGCAAAATTATACTACTTTTTTTCATACATCTCTGCATATAACATGGATACGCATTAAACAGAAATTATGACAAGAAACTGGTCTTGTTAATATTTTCTAAGGCCCTTTGCAAGGTTTTGGCCTTGCCTTCGGCCGGTAATCGGTATTATGAAGCTCAGTTGTAGTCCTACATCCAACACACGCGGAGTAGACATGTTCTACCGAGACGAGTTCAAGAATTGTGAGACCGACGTCCAACTGCACGGGAAAGTGGCCCTAGTGACTGGAGCAACTTCAGGAACAGGTCTGGAGGTGGCCAAGAACTTAGCCAAACGCGGCGCCAGAGTCATCATAGCCAGCCGAAACCCAGCCAAGCTACAAGATGCCAAAGACACCATCATCAAATCATCGGGAAACAACAACATCACAACAAGACAAATGGATTTCGAATCTCTGGCGTCAATCAGGAATTTCGTACAAGAAACTGTATCTACAGAACCCAGATTGGACATACTGATCAACAATATCGGAAGCATTGGCCTGGACGACAGACTCACTCAAGACAATCTGCAATTGATGATGCAAGTAAATTATTTTGGAACCTTTCTTCTGACGTTTCTCTTGTTTCCTCTGCTGAAGGCATCAGCTCCGAGCAGAGTAGTCAATGTATCTTCCTTGGCACTAATATTGGGAGATATTAACCTTGAACACATGAATGATGTTGGACGATACTCCAATTTCGGATTCTACTGCAACGCTAAATTAGCTGATGTGCTATTCACAGTTGAAATGGACAAGAGAATCAGAGGTTCTGGAGTTAACGTCTACAGTATGGACCCTGGCTTAGGAAAATCTCAGTTCTTTAGAAACTTCGACAACGAATTTATAAAGAATTTCTTTAACGGTGCATTACAGAAGTTTGGAAGACCGTTAAACAGGGTAGCGACGATGCCAGTATACCTGGCAGTGGATCCAAAGTTAGAGACTGAAAGTGGAAAACATTTCAGAGACTGTGCCGAGTTTTATAGCACATGGTTAGCGAATGATACTGTGTTAACAAGTAGACTGTGGGACGAATCGAAAAGACTTGTGAAAATTAATAATAACGAAGATTGGGAACGTAATTCGTGATACAAAAATGTGCATTCACGTAACTAACATTCTTTGTGGGTATTTAAATTGCTAATTTAATTTAGTCTGCGTTCCGGATCAGCGATGGTGGTTATTAATATGTTTTGTTATCGAATAAAAGTTGATATGAAATTTTAGAAATCGGATTTTATTGTTTGTTTTACTCAAAGTTATAATCGTCGAGTCGTTTCTTTATGGTACCGATTTATAGTTTGATTGCGACTTTATGCATTAATTAATATTAATCAATAACACATTATCCACCAAAACTTTTAATTGTTCATCTCATTCATTCGAAGCTAATCAAGGAATTTTATGGGCTAAGTACGAGTATAATGTCAAATACGCCCAGATTAAACGCCTTGAACAAAATAAATAAGTACAAGGTTAAATCTATACTTATAATAAATCTGTAGAGAGGTCAATTCTGTACATGAAATATATTTTCAAAATAATTATCAGGGGGTGATACTCGTAAGTGATCGATACTGATGCCAAAAATGCAATCAGTAAAATTTTTGTCTGTCTGTCTGTCTGTATGTTCCTTATAGAAACAAAAACTACTCTACGGATTTTAACGAAACTTGGTACAATTATTCTTCATACTCCTGGGCAGGTTATAGGATACTTAGGAATTCCCACGGGAACGGGCATTAGCGGGAAAATCCTTTTGTATGAAAAATCTAAACCGCTTAAGTTAGACGCTTGAAATTTGGCAAGCAGGTACCTTAGTAAACTTAAAGCTTAGTTGTATCAGGATATTGCAATATTCCCACGGGAACTGGAATTAGCGGGAAATTCCTTTTGTATGATTGACTCACTGACATACCCACGCACAGCCTAAACGGCTAAACGTAGGCACTTGAAATTTATAAGGGACGTAGCTTAGGTACCGTAGAGGTGCACTAAGAAAAAAATTCCCGAAATTCTCACAGGAACAGGAATAACCGGGAAAATCCTTTTGTATGAAAAATCTAAACCGCTTAAGTTAGACGCTTGAAATTTGGCATGAAGGTCTCTTAGTAAACTTAAAGCTTAGTTACAACAGGATATTGCGAAATTCCAACGGGAACGGGAGTTAGCGGGAAAAAACATTTGTATGAAAAAATCTAAGCCGCGTAAGATAGATGAAGGGGGTAAAACGGGATCCACGCGTACGAAGTCGCGGGCGGCCGCTAGTAATAAATAAAATCATCATACGGAGAAAACAATTTTCAAGGTGTAGAGTCAAATCTAATATCGTACTTATCTTACCATATTATTATAGCCAAATACCAGTTAACTTTAATCTGCTTCTGTATCTCTATTTAAAATTTATTCTTGAATCATTACACAAAATATGCAACAACAATAAAGAAATACCTGCCCTTACAAAATAACGGAGTATTAGCCCAGGCTCAGACCACTGATTTTTCGTCGGCCGATTGTTTAGTCGGGCAGTTATCAGTATGGAAGTGCGCACATTACGCCGATTTAGTATCGGCCGATTCTTCATACAAATAAGAATCGGGCCCAACTATGAGTCAGTTTCAGTGATCTATTTACATAATGAAACTCCTGTGAATGATTAATACTTAAGATGCAGCTCTAAAGGTTCTTGACCTAAGTGCACATCTCTGTACAAATTCAAATTCTTCGGCCACAAGTCATTTCGTCTGTACTCGCGCGTGCAAATTAATATGTCACTCACACGCAGCGCTTCCGCGTGTTCGCGCAAATCTGCGCTCTACAAGTGATAAACTTATGGCAGATAATATTTATTTTATTCTGATGATGGTGGCAATGATATGTGAATGACAAATGCAATAAATCTTGGTTAAGTAGTTTATCAGTTGATGCTGAAAAGTGCTTGTCTGATACTTTATAAAGAAGATTATCCATCGTAGTATCTGGGATAAGACGGGGAAAAAACTTTTGCTATTGTTTTTTAACCTCAATTTTTTACTATAGGGTTGTTATCTCTGCAACACTGATCTACTTTGAAATAGTGTATCAGTCACATCTCCATCTACTGACCAAAAATTTAATGAGTAGAGTCATGGAGACTTTAAGAATGTGTTTGTATTCATTGAGTATTCTTACATCTTATCTAAGTTCTTATTTGGGTATGTAAAAGGACTCTAGATATGAATATTTTAACAGCAAATGAAAACTTTCTATACCAGATTTGTTTAATTTTTAAATCGCTATAACCTCTAGACTTGGCCACCGCCCATCTTAAAGGATTCTGCGGTCGACCAGGAAAGTGCGCCCACGCACACCTGGCGCATTCTAACGCTCCTTTACGCGCAACGGCTTTTCTAACTAAATATTATGGCGGGCACATGCTTATTGTCTACGGTGACATTTTATTCTGCTGTAGAATTCCAATAAGTAGAACCTCATCTGTGCGGAGACAGTTATTCAGGTTTAGGTAGATAGAAATATACTCTTTATTGCACACTACACAAAACTGTACCCAACCCGTCTGGCCAACGTAGGAAGCATAGGCCAAAACCTTCATTTTCGTCTGGTACATTAGACATGGTCGTTGGTCCTGCAGTGGAGAACTGGAGACCAATTGACCTGATGAAGATGACACAAAACTGGCAAATAATAGAAGTATAAAACGACACAATTTAGGCTTATTGCTAAAAAGCTGCAGCTTCTTTAGACACCAAAGGACAGTTGTATAAGATAAAGGCAGGTTTATGTTTATCTGCGTTTTTCGACTTTCGTCTCAAAAAAATATATGCGACATGGAGTGACATGTAAATCTCAAACCAAATACGTATTTCCTGAATGCATCGATGAAAATTATAAGCCTACCAAAAAGGCATGCATATCATTCATGCACACAATGTGCATTGAGTATGCACATTTGCTATACAAACTGATACGTATAACTAATTGGGATATTTTTAATAGGCAAAGGAAGTTACTGGTAGTTAAACTGACGTATAATTTGTCATTTGGGTAACCATCAACGTAATAACTTCACATAACTGTGGCGGGGTAATAGAACCTACGCTGAAACCCAAACTAAACCTTATTAAGTACTAATAAGAACGATTTTCAAAACCATCTGCAGTTTGTGGATACTATATCACCGTGAACTGTGTGTTGGTATATGTGGTATGGTGTCTTGTAATGTCATCGGTCAACCTGCGGCCGCGATAGTAAACGGCGTTATGTAATTACACTTTCAATACTCTAAAATACCGTGTGTCTTACTGGTGATTAGAGCTTTATGAGGGATAATGTTGACTCCACAAGTGTTAAGATGAAGCAGTAGACTGCGACGAAAATATGTTCTTTACTGTGCTTGGGTTCAGAAATATCGATATCGATTTTTTTCAGTACCCATCCCTATGCTGTGCCTGTGCTGTTCTTTTGCTGAATAAAATCAATAAATCATTCGGACTGATTGTTTTCATCTTGCTTTCAAAATAAGCCTAAATGATTTTTGACATGGCTCTATAGAATCACGGCAGAAGTGCAGAGATGCAAATCATAATAATCTATCTTATTTAACAATGAATTTGATTCTTCATTGTATATCAGTAGCGCAGGAGAACTCTACAAGGCGCCAGACTAATAAATGACCGCAGACATCTAAGTTATTAATTTTTATAACAAAATCTACATAACAAAGTTTCTATCACTACGATCCTGTTTATTATGTGACAAGTGGACAAGGTAATATAACTTTTCTACAACACCTATGTGCCAATTTATTACAGAATAAATACTTAGAATAAAAAACAATATTTGTGATTTAGAATCAAATCAAATCAAAATCCATTTATTGAGAAGTGTTTTCAACTTGAGACTAGACTAAATATATTCTAGTTATGTGTTAACAAAGTGTAAATCAGTAATCCTCCTACTGTAGTCGATTTACTATCTCGAATACAAATCCGAGCTTACATAATTTCGATATCGGAAAATCTCCGGCAAATTAAAATTCAATGCATAGAGAACGTCAAGTGCGCAATATACTGCGCAGCGGAGCTATCTAATGGAAATAGTAGCAGAAAGTCTTTCATAAAGCGAAAGGACAGCTATTAAGCTAGGGACTAGAATACACTGTCTGATGCAAATAGTGGCAGAAACTCTTTTTAAGCGAAGCGAAAGCTATCAAGCTAGCGACTGGAATACACTGTCTAATGTTGTCTTATCCAAACACAATCCAGGTCTCTTCTAGGTGAGAGTAAATAGGCGTATACTGGGCAGGTATGTACCATTTTGGACCACCACCATCTCACTTAATTACAAAAATCTGCCTTGTCCAGCATAAAAATCATCATTTTCGCAATTGAAAGAAATTAAAAAAGGAGAGAAAACTGATGGTAGACGCCTCATTACCAGATAATAATTACACAATATTATCTTGTACATTACCTACTTGTTAATAAAAGCGATCCTATTTCTTTCACTACTTTTGCTAATTTACCAGCTAGACTAGCAGACCGAAATTAGTGATAACTTTTTTTTGTTCAAGCATAGTCAAGTATGTGGTTCTACTGTTTAAGGTAATTTTATGTTACCAGCTTCTGCGTTACTCAATTGCGTTTGTTTATTTGTGCTCATAAACTTAATTGGATGATGAGGCTGAAAGCTTATTACGCGGATCACTTGAGTGGCTCTCTTTTACATTGTTAGGTTTCATTATTTTAGTACCGACGACGGCTTATCAAGCTGTATTATACCATCTTATTTCGTTGGGAGAGGTTTGATTTTGCAACAAAAATATATGTAAAGCTGTATTGCTGTCGACTTTATAATGATTTATTGTAATATTTGTGATATACGAGTATTAAACACTTAAGATGGATTCAACCAAACAAGAGTAAATATTAATCTCAGAATAAATCGTCAGTTTTGACATATTGGATTGGATTGGAGTTATTATCGGATAAAAGTTTGATCGAATCGGGCTTAGTCAATTATAATTTCAACACCTTACTGCAAGAGAGAAAATAATATTACCAAGTTCTGTTTCTTTTTTGTTATTCTCTCTTGAAGCCTAACTTACATCAGTACTCCTAGCTATAGCTACTATCTAGCCATAAAAGAAGAAGATTTTTAGATTAAAATCTGTCACTGAAAAGCCTATTATAACTCTGAATAAGTTATGTATGACCTTAGAATCAGAAGTTCGACTCTTCTATGAGGCTACTGTATATCGTCACGTCTCTCTCGCTCATAGCAATATCCCCGACTGAATGAAAAAGATAGTTAGAACCAGATCCCAGACAAAATGAATGAAAAAGATAGCAAAATATGAAATCTGATTACGTAGTAGAGCTGTATGGACGCTACCGGAAGCAATGTATTCAGCGAAATTACTATAATTGTTTATTGCATTCCATTATCTATTGATCGTGGGACATAATCATTCGACGAGTTTCTCTACAATTCAATTACACAGTAAAATACACTTGTTATAAGTCCAGCAAGATAAAGATTAAAACTGCACGTGTCGTGTTGTAATGTCTCGTGTCCCTTCTTCGCTCACCCATTTTGAGAGATATTGAACTCGAGTCGATGTCTCTCCGAAGGGATGCGCGAAGCCACTACAAGGGCTCTCGCGGAAGACCAGCTTCTTGACATGCCCTTACGAGCGCATGTCAGGATAAATGCTGAGCGGGAGCCTATTGACACAGTGGCCCACTATTTTCTATATTCGTTTTGTATTGTTATTGTTTATAATTTGTGCTTACTGTGTTCAATAAAGTCTATTTCTTTCTTTCTTTCTTTCAAAAACCTTTTCTCTAAAAATCTTTAATTGTAGTCCTGCAAATCTATATTTACAAATAAAGACCTAACAGACTAATTGCCTAAGTGTTAAGTTTCGTAACATAAGAAGGAACTTAGCATGCCAAAATTTGCAAAATAGTTTAGAAAAGGAAGAATTATTAAACAACTTGTTAGGTAAGTGAATCTATTTCAATAAAGTCGTCAAACTTGATATTATCACAAAATCCGATGACAAGTAAAAACGCTTGCCATCCCAAAGATGCATCTTGCATCACAGCTCGTGACCACCGATGTAGATCCAATACAGAGACACGACTATGACCGGAAGACTTGCGCAATGACAGCTGACAGATCGTTTGATGAGTCTGCAAGTTTTACTGCTAAAAATCGCTCAGTTATAAAGACGAATGAGATATTTTTGGAATGATTTGTTGCAATAAGTTATAAAAGTCTTGCTCTACTCGTAGTAGGTATCAAGCTATACATATAATGTGTCATTCGTTACGGTAATTGAAATACCGGGGTGGTTGACACTTGGTGTTCCATCCACCCCGTTGAACGCTAAGACTATGACTACCGGGGTCGATGAAACTTTTACCCATCGACCCCGTTGACGGGGCAGACCGGCGTCGTTGGGACTAACCTTAAATAAAGGGTAATAAGGGTTTAAGAGGCTGTCCTGAAGTGGTGGTTAATAAGCTATATTGGGACGTGTAGAAGTCCTGAAAAGGACCTACATACTAATGAATTTGAATTTGATGTAACATGACTAGTTAGGTCTTCCTAAGTTCAGTTAGTTCAGAGTTAGATTGACGTGTGTGAATTTATTGAATAGAAAAGTGATATTGTCTACTGGTACTAGTGCCGGACTTAGATAAATAATTATGCGTCTGATTTGAAATTTCATGATTATTTTATGAAAAGTCTTTGCCAATATAATCCTAATTCTTCGCTTTCACAAAGCTATTTGTATAACCTTTGATCTTAAATGCAATAAAGTTTGTTGAATAATCACACATGTGTATAGTGTTAAGTAATATCGATTATTATGCCTTTTATGAATTTGCTATGACTCAAAACTTTGAAGTCTGATGTGCCATCTACCGTACGATAAAAATACTCTACCTATCCTAGAATCTTGGCATTATACTCACAACCGTGGACAATGTCCAGCAGTGGACGTCTTTCGGCTGAAACGAACGAACGAACGAACTCACAACAAAAAAATGGTACGTAACTAATGGTTTTAACCTAACATTGCAATTGTTCAGTACTGGCTGACATTTGCTCTCATGATTAAAATCAGACAAATAGCCGCGACGTACAAACAACAACATAATAAACACTGCGACCCGTTATGTACTTGCAATAAGGATGAATTTTCAATATAAATTCATAATCTATTGTGCGGTCGACTGTGCTTTCATCAGGTCGTAGTCGTAGGCGCAGGCTTCACTGACATGAAAGTGACATAATAATAATCTGACATGCTAGTGATGTCACGATAACATTTTTCAAGTTCAACGTTTAATGTCATTTCAATATTTTCGACAGAGGTCAATGGGCATGCAAAATTGCATTAAATTAAGAAGAAGTTTGGTTAATAATACAAATTTTAATTATTTATTGTAGTTCTAAACAATGGTGGATATTAGTTATCTCTAAGTTTGTTTGTCACCGTCATCCGCTTTGCAACGGAGCTGCGGAGGGAAGTCGAACTTTACTTTCGAACTCCTCCGATGTTCTTCTGATTAATTTTGTTGCGGGTCCAATGACAGTAAAACTTTCCCCCGGGACAAACTTGACCTTCACTGGTTGGGTTTTTATTGACGGTCAAGCTGTAGATCCTGGCTACACAAGAGTTGCAGCGGTGGGAACGAGAGGTGGCATAGTCCCGTATCTCTAGGTTCAAACTACTGTTTCTCATCCAGGAAACACCTTTTGTCCAATGGACACTGCCTAATTGCCTACCGAATGACTGAACTAAATGGTTATTAATACAAAAATGCATTTGGCACGCCACTTTGCATAGCAATAAAAGCATCATAGACTATTAAGTAAATGAATTGCGTTACGACTTCGCTCAATATTCGTATTTTAATGTAACCTTCAGCCGGAATGTATGGCGTAAGGCGACTCATCTTAAATAGTATAAACTAACGATAATTGTCTTTTTATTTAACGAAAATTTTTAAGTAACGCTAATGAAGTATTATAGTAGAGGCCTTGAAAAATCGTAAGGTTAATCTGCCTGCATATAAAAAAAAATTAAGTAAAAAGATAATACTCTTTACACGTCATGACCTTGGTTTTGAACATAACCTAATATTATTTTGCTTCCATAAGAAACTATAGTCGCAATTTACAACTGTAAGGGAACCATTTCGATACTCTGATTCACTTTCCTCCTAAGTGATGCAAAAACATGTAAAATCTTTACCTGAAGAATTATAGCAAAGACTTTGTTATGTATGACTTAGACTAGGTGCAGACCACCGATTTGTAATTGGCCGATAGTTGGGCCCGATTTTAATTTGTATGAAGAATCGGCCAAATCAAATCGGTGTATTGTGCGCACTTCCATACATGCCCATACTGATCAACTGCCCGACTAAACTATCAGCCGACAAAAAATCGATGGTCTGCGCCTAGATGTAATTTTATCGACAACTGCCAGCCATAAGTCACCGTGTCCCATCACTAGCGCGCAATTCACAGGTCAATGGAAAGTAAGAGGCAGGGGTTACGCGAATTATTCCGTCGACTACGGTCAGCGATGGCGCTGTCTTTGGAATGGGGCCGAGAAAAAACAATCTTGATAAAAAAACTAATTTACAATATGACATCCGATAAAATTTTACAGCCTTGTTCGTCCACATTAAAAAATTCTACGTCGCGGGATCAATTCCTGTACAATACTTACTCGTATTTACAAACATTTGTCTCGTACATTACAAAATTTAATGATGTTTTTTAATCAAAAAATCGACGCCCTGAAAAAATCAGTAACGTGCGCTGCATAAATTACTTAGCACAATTAAAAAAGTGTGAAAAATATGTCCACTTATTTTTTATTTTTAAGGTAACCGACAATAACTATTAGCTTCATTTTTAAAGCTCTTGAAAACTGCAACAATATCGTTCGTTGCAGCTTTATCAACAGCAAAGCTGAGGTTTAGCACTAGTAAAATTAAATAGGGTCTAGACCAGCTAAAGTTAGCGCTATTAGAAAATAAAAAATACACACTTAGGTTGGGTTGTACCATCTTATTTTTCTTTTACGTCAAAAATCTGTCAAATTTCATACAAAAGCACAGCTTAGGTTATCGTCATAGTCACCGTTAGAGTTAGGTGTGCACCACCTCCACTCAGCCTTAATCCTACTAATATTATAAATGCGAAAGTTTGTGTGGATGTTTGTTACTCTTTCACGCAAAAACTACTGGATGGATTTTGATGAAACTTTACAGTATTATTGTTTATAACCCAGAATAACATATAGGCTATAATTTATTACGCTCTGTGACAAACTAAATTTCACGCGGGTAAAACCGCGGGCAAAAGCTATCACATAGATTACGTACAGGAATCAGTCCTGTACGTAATCGATGTGATATTAATATGAGATGCAAACACTTCGCCTGTTATTTATACTGATTGGAGAGATAGCTGGCCTAAGTGAAAAAAAAACGAAAGGTCTTGTCAGAGGTCGCGCGTATATCACAACCTGTGCACTGGCGCAGGTGAAGAGCGACTAGCGAGAAATTAACAATAAAAAAATATTTACCTTACTATTAAATAATATGCTTGTAAATTAAATAATTTCTAAATTTGAAATAAAAAGAATTGAAGGAAACCAACGAATATTAATTTTACAGTATTTTTCTCTTGTTACGTGTCCCTATGAAAATACACCATAAAATGTATAATCGCAATAATAAATAATGAAAATCACACGGCTGAATCAGTGCCTAATGGATGATGATGGAATGGATGGATGAATGAATAGACTTACAATATTGATCTCCAGGGTAGTGATCTGAATTCACTACTTAATGACAGTTAAATATGAACATAAGAAAAGATTCAAGCTCAGTTATCTTTGGAAGCGACGCGCGAGTTTGCTACTTGAACCTATGGTCAATCTTAAAACAGTAAACAGTGAATAAAAGTGCGAACTATAAATTTATAGACACGTAAACCATGAATAGTGAAATAAATTGTAGGACTTACCATCGATTCGCCATCTGAAACAAAACAAAAATCATTTCAAAGCTGTAAACTATTAAAAATTAATTTAGTTAAATTATGTTTCTCTAAATGAGTTATATGGTTCAAATCTAACAAATCTAACTATCAATATTGGACCAAATCTTGAAGTCTGTTGGTAATTTTTAGTAATTAACAATTAGCTAAGAAGGTCGTGATCCCAAATTCAAAAGCGTGCGCGCTGATGAACTAATCTATCGACTAATTACTGGAGTTGATTAGATGTGTAAATATATTTTCATAAAATTATAAACCTACACAAACATTAAATTGTATAGTTTTTTATCCACAACGAGGACGCTCTTGGCCTGCATCTTACTTGATGGAAAGTGATGATCAGGCCGAAGTAAGCTAGCTTTATCCAGAATCCTCAACTACAGAGCAACTGGATATTTTTACCTCTAAACGGTTGGATAAAACACAACAGTGCTGTTAACAATGTTATGACGACAGACTTAAGTGGTAGCTATAGTCAGGCGGACTTAGAACAAGCTCTACAACAAACAAAACTAAGCAAAAAAATTTGCCCCCACTGGAAAAGCAAGCCTGAACCTGAAAAAGCGTAACCTCTGTGTTTGAAACAGGTCGTATTAACCACTAAACATGGAGACGGTGTTTTTGGTCGAGACACAAGCGATACAACTTTGCGCTCTAGATCAAAAAAGTTCCATCACCGGGGAACCAGACGCAGGTTAGCGTACCATCCCTACATTGTAGGCATTCTACCAGCACGAACTAAGCGCTTCGCTAACTCTTTTTTAATGTGAACAAATAGGGACTGGATTCGCTACCTACTGCTATCTTTCGAGTGAATAGGATATTACAGAGCAGATATTATGTACCAACCTATACTCCATCTCACTTAACATCAGGTGTGATTGCAGTCAAATGCAACTAGCTTTCCGCCCGCGGCTTCGCCCGCGTGGAATTTTGTCTGTCACAGAAAAACTTTATCGCGCGCGTCCCTGTTTCAAAAACCGGGATAAAAACTATCCTATGTTCTTTCCCGGGACTCAAACTATCTCTATGACAAATTTCATCAAAATCGGTTGCGAGGTTTAAGCGGGAAAGCGTAACACATAGACAGACAGACAGACAGACAGACAGACAGACAGAGTTACTTTCGCATTTATAATATTAGTTGGGATAAAAAAGCTAAATATGTACAACTAGCTTTCCGCCCGCGGCTTCGCCCGCGTGGAATTTTGTCTGTCACAGAAAAACTTTATCGCGCGCGTCCCTGTTTCAAAAACCGGGATAAAAACTATCCTATGTTCTTTCCCGGGACTCAAACTATCTCTATGACAAATTTCATCAAAATCGGTTGCGAGGTTTAAGCGGGAAAGCGTAACAGACAGACAGACAGACAGACAGAGTTACTTTCGCATTTATAATATTAGTTGGGATATTTATTGTACAGAAGCTGAGGGCGATGCCATAAACCGTTTTCTCTTCTCCAATAACATTATCGCGCTGTATATTCCATTAGGCCACATATTCGCATTTTAAGCTGCTTTCCTCACTTCCTTAAATCTGCCTGCATTGTTACGATGAGGCTTTACGACTAGAAAGTCGATCGCCTCATCTGCATACAGAGCGCGCATACTTCTATCGAATGTTGCGGGTCAGTTTGGATTTAGTACAGTTTTGTCAATGAGTCACAGCAAAGTGTAAGAAGAATATAATCAGAAAATGTAGGTACAAAATATACAATTCTTTTTCACATCCATTTCAGCTTTTTTTTTTTGATAATGATGCAGTACCACTAGGCCGACGATCTGGTGAAGGTCGCTGGAAGTACATATTATTTACATGGATGCGGGCAGCTCAGGACTGGTCTTTATGGAAATCCTTGGGGGAGGCCTTTGTTCAGCAGTGGACGTCATTTGGCTGAAACGAACGAATGACCAATGACGTCGTAGAGCATCATTATTAGCGTCGTGATTTTTGAAAAATAAGAAATATTGGCTCTAAAACTTCGTCAATGGTAATTTTTTTCTGATATACACTATTTAAAAAGCTCTTTCACAAGAAGCAGTATTACTTTAACCCTACCACTGCTTCGGAACAATAAATAGTGTGCAAGTGTATCAAGTGCTGAGAAGTAGCGCAAGAAACTCAGACTCCAGTCAACAGTACTCTAGCAAATTTTATGTTTTTGTAAATAACCAAACCTGTCAAGAAAATCTGACTCCGTTACTTTACTGAACCTGAAATTTCAATAAAATCCAACTCTGTTACTGTACAGCAACACGTAGGCATAGTTTAATATACATCCATATGTATTATGTTATGCAAGGCTTCGACCTTGTGATTTGCCTCGAACTCGACGAACTTGATCGTTTTGACAAATTTTCTGAATACCGATGTTTAAGAGTGTACTAATGTAGGTACTTTAGTTAAAATATTAGGTATTTTGTTCAAAGGGAAGGGTAAAACTAATGTACTAAATAGTAGCATGAAATCGTGATTGCAATGCAGGTGTCTTCACGAACATGAATTCACAAATAATGTGGTGCAAGCAACTAAACAAATAGATTTCGAGATTTCACATTTATTCAGTGCATGAGTGACCTTTCGCCTAATTTATTGCATTTTTATATAGGGTGGCATTTAAATGCAATATTACAGTTGGCTATAATTCTCATTGTTACAAAATGTATTTTTGTGAATAAGTTTTCCACCTATCCATACAAATAAAGCGCTCTACCTCGTATAGTAAAATGGTTTTGGTATAAATGAGCATAGAAGTTTGCAGTTTCTTTAATTACACATTTAGGGCCTTATTAATAAAAGTTACACCCTAGTTAAACTCTGGCTTAAGTTGTCATTTAGTATGGAAATGTTATTTTAATCCAGAGTTCATCCTAGATGTAAATTTTTATTAATAAGGGGGTTAATGTACAAAATTTCCACCAATACAGACTTTTCGTTGCGTTTCCATTATAAAGCCTACGCGGTAATTTGATAATAGTAATTAACCTCCAATTCACGCCGTGTTTATACACACCATTAATCCCCATCAACTATTTTTAGAATTGACAAGTTTTCTATGATGACTGTGTTTTACCTGTTTTGATTAAACGCTTTCCGTAAAAAACCTGTTTTGTACAAAACAATTTTAAAGGTTCCGCAGTGTATAGGTTCTGGAGGTATTTTGGTATCATTGGTTTATTATTTCGCATACGAATTTGTTCGTATACGGTTCGAAAATCGAACGCGTTTAGTGTCATGCTATTCTGAAATCAACGCGTTTGATTGATAAATGACATAAAAGATAATCCGATATAATCGTTTTCAGTCATGTTTATTTATTATTTTTCAAGTAATGACTCAGCACTGAACCCCAAATATAGCACATTAGCATTCGTATGTTAACCATAATTCCAAGAGAATGTTTGTAAAAGCGTCTCTGTGTTAATATTAACAAACGCCACATGATTCCTAGATTCTGTTTTTAACATTAAATTGTTGTATTTTGTGTTAGGTCCCAAACAAAGTTTTCGTGGGTTTTAGGTTAAGCGGAGATTTGATTCGTCTTTAACAACTCTGCAACATGTTTCTGTAAATGCTAAACTCTCAAAAATAATAAACTCTTATAAATGTCTCAAAAATAGCTCTAAATTTTTTAGTAAATTTTGGAAAATATTTATTTTTCGTAAACGCCAAACCCAAAAACCATTTTAACAGATTATTAGAAATCTAGGTTTCCAAGAAGTTATCTATCCCCAGGACTAGTCAACCTTCACTGGTTGAGTTTCTGGAGGCTTACTTGGCTGTAGATCTTAACTTGTTAAATGTATTGTCGATGATACTGAATTAACATTTCTTCTTTCTTTCCTTCTTTCTTTCTTTCTATAAGTTCAGGAGTTGCAGTGATGGGAAATAATGGTGGGATTAGTCCAGTGCTTTCTAATGTTAGAAACTACACTAAAATTGGCATTAGACTAACAAAATCTATCGCAAGTTAGAGTCATGCACATGCTAACTGAACCGCAGTGTCACTAGATCACCGTTTACTGGGAGCAAGCAGTACAAGGTTCGAATAGATTGCGCTCACCGTTCACTTTTCATTTCAAGTGGTTATCATTGGCTGACCACCTACGGCACCATAGTTATTTACACTGTCTACCCATGAACTTAAAAGAATAACATTTCGGAAATATTGAATAACTTCACTTTTTAATCAAACAAATCTCAAACGGGTCTCTTAATAGGAAACAATTTTTCATGAACTATTAACTTTTAAAAATCGTCCCCTTTGAAGTGCGGACGACGGTACATCATAAGCGAGACTCCATCAAAAGTGTTGTTGCAAAAAGTGCTATCCTGCAACCAAAATTTTATAAAAAAAAAATAAAACCGACTCCAAAAAATGTCAATGTCTTGTTTAATGTTTTGTTTTTTGTATTTAAAATGTTGGTTGGAGAGGCACCCGCTGAAAACCAGCGTCGGGGCATGCGTGCATGCACGCGTGGCTCGATTAATGCTGAGCGGGCGCCTTTTTGGCACAAAATATTATGCGTGTATAGTTTTAAGTCCCTTTGTTCTGTTTTTCTGTTTTCTTTTGTGTCAAATAAAGTTTTTCTTATTCTTATTCTTATAAAAAACCTACACTAAAACGTAGAAAAATAATTACGCCTGACCAGGAACATAAAAACGCTCGCCATGTTGCGGAAAATTAATGGTACTAATTTCTTTTAATGGCAACAGTAACTGAAAACTTCATTGATATGTCACCTTGCATGTCAGTCTATTGCTGTCAAAGTGTAAACAAACTTTATTTTAAATGTGTGCAATTGATTTTCTGAATTAAATTGCTAAAAACTTTACATAGTCGTGAAAGAAAAGTGGTTCACAATGTGTTAAAGTATTTGTCGAAGAGAAATACTAAGGGTTCGGACATTATTTTCATTAAATAATGTTTCCGGCAAAGGTTGTCAAATTGACTGACATGTTTATCGTATAGTACAGTCAA